CACGCCCATTCCATCCTTCTCATAATCTTTATATTGGCCACATAATCCCATACCATACGGACATATAGCCAATGACGTGTCAAGAAAGCAAACTGATAACCAATTCCACATTTGATCCTGTGAAAGGATTCCATTTCTAACCTGTTTGCATAAAAGATCCATATAAACATCCCCTCAAAAGCTTTGACCACAAACTTTAATCCACTTTTGAGGTATCCTGGGATTTAACATGATGTTCTTTAAATGTTAATACAGAGTATTCATTTTAAACTACGAAACAATATTCTTGTATTCTTTCAATATTCAAGGCAAATTAGGACTATTGTGATAATAGCACATCACAAAGACACACCACCATAGGAATGATGGGAATTATTTAAATTTACATGGCAACCCTCCAAACTGCTCTATATGCAGATAGATATAGTAACCATTAGAAGACAAAGGGAGAGAGAATTATTCTACTCAATTACAAATGCAGTCTACGGGTCAAAGAATGATGTTATGGATGTATTATAAGCCTGCATCTGAAGTGTCTGCAGTTAGTTTTTTTTTTTTATCTATGAGATCCATTTTGGTCACTGATTAGTTGTCAAATCACAGAAATAGTACAGTATATATGATATAGTGTGATAATAAATGGACATTATGCTGTAAATTAAAATAATTTCAATAAATTCATCAATCTAATGGAAGCTATTAACAGACCCTGACCATTCTTCTGAGATTTAAAAATAGAATTAAACCAATCAAACCGTAACTACCTTTGCTGTCCATTTGAGCTCCACGTATTTGTCTCTACTTCTTCAAAATACAATCCACCGCAATACTTGTCAAATGTGCTTGAAGTAAAAGTGTAAAACCTTTACAAAATTCAGAAAACTTTGATTTTTACCAAGCTGTCAGCACACTGAGATATCAAATTTCACTCAAAACATTACGAGCTGCTCTACAGTGAGGACAGCGAACGGATTAGGGATGAATATGAAAAGAACCTCTGTGCATAGAGAACTACAAAGTAAAATTAATGTCGTGAACGCTCACAGTTTCAGTGCAGACACAAAAGCAAACTCCTTTAAAAGGGGAGCATGATCAACTGTGTCCAACTCAGGTTCAGATAATTAGCTCCAAATTGTATCGTTTTCAAATGTACATTAATTTAACCTCATTGAGATCACATGATTGAGCACTGCTCTGGTCCTGGGACTCCTTGCGCTCCAGGAAGATGCAGAGATTCTAGGTCAAAATTCAAGCCAGGAGGCTGAAAATACAAGAGATTGATTGATGATGTAAATATAGCATAACTGTTATTTGAAAAAAAAAAGAAAGAAAATACTCACTGCCTCTCCAGCAAGCTCTTTTGGAGGTTGACCCAAGTCTTGCAGCTGAGGGGTAAGACATTATTTCCATGAACAAAAATATTAATAGTGCTGTTATTGAAAGGTTCTATTAAGTAATATTATGTTTTTTTAAGTAAAAAGGGTACAAGAAAAATGTCATTTAATTCATGCATTTATAAAAAAAAATCATTACAAAAAAATCAGTAAGCAGAATAAAAAGGTGACCCTAAATTATTTTTAAAAATTGCTTTCTACCTTCTGCATGAGTTCCAGAATGTTTTCAAACGTGCTGTCTTTGTCTCCATCTTTCTCAAATTGGCTGCATATTTCTCCCATTATTTTGTACTGTTGCTCATATCGCACAAACTGGTCTGTGGGAAGGGATTGCTTGTTGCTCTCCAACCATCCAGGGTACTAAATGCAAATTGCATCATATTAGTACTTTGTTCCCTCCAAATATTAAATGGAATGTGTTGGAAGATTTTTTTAAAAGAAATGTTTAATTAATGGCAGGCATATACCCGCTTCACTGGGACCAGAACAGTAGGACAGTGATTAGGAGTCATACAGATGCTGTAAACAACTCACCTTCTCTGTTATCTCTTTAAGAGAAGGGTATAGCACTTCTTTAGATAAAAGGTTCTGCATGATGGACTGCATTATTGGGAGAATATTGCCATCATCTCCTCCCCCCCCATTTTCATTCAATCCCAGGTTCTCTAAGGTCTTTACCAGATCATCTCCAGCCAGCCCTGCACTCTGCATTTAAAATTATGAATGTTCATCACATTTCTTTACACATCTTCTGACATACATTACCATTTAAATGTTTGAGGTCGGAAAGAAAAAAAAAAAAGAAGAAATTAATTAAAACTTAAATTCAACAAGGACGCTTTAAATTAATAAAACCTGACAGTAAAGATCAAATACATGCTGTTCTTTTGTACTTTTTGTTCATCAAACAATCCTGAAAAACAATCATGGTTTTCACATAAATATTAAGCAATATTGATAAGAATAAGAAATGTTTCTTGGTCATCAAGTCATCACATTAGAATGATTTCTGAAGGATCATGTGACACTGATGTCTGGGTTAATGGCTGTTGAAAATGTAGCTTTGACATCATAGGAATAAATTACCATTTAAAACAATTAAAGAAAACTATTATTTTAAATTGTAATATTTCACAATATTACTGTTTTTACTGTACTTCTGATCAAATAAATTGAGCCTTTGTAAGCATAAGAGACTTATTTCAAAACATTTTTAAAAAATCTTACCAACCCCAAACTTTTGAATTGTAGTTTATCATTAAAACCACTATTTCCTTCAATTACATTCCAATAGGAGAAATTCCAAGTGGCATTACCTGCAGGTTGTCTGCATTTTTCGCCAAACCACTAAGGGTATCTTTAAGACAGGATGTGAACTCTTGTTGTGAAGCTACATCTGTGCCTAAACAAAAAAAAAAAAAAAAAAAAAAAAAGTCAAAACATTTGGAAAATACAAATACATCCAACATTTATAAAGTGCTCCATTTCAGATCACTCACCTACTTTACCTGCTGCCTCAGAGAGCTTATGAAAATGCTGTATTAGGTCAGGTTCTTCTTGCGCTAACTCAGCCATGGCCTTCTCCCACTCCTCACGTGCTTGATTGGCCATCTCACCATCAAAGAGAGACTCAAAGAACTTACTGTCCTCCAACAGAGGAGGCTGAGGATGAAAAGAACAGAAAACAAATACATTAACCAGCAGCAATGATGGAACCAACTCTGTAGAACTGCAAGAGTGCCTAGAAAATTATGGAAAGATAATACAATGTTATTCTGATCATTTTTTGGCTTGATTTCAAAATGAAAATGTGTTTATTACCTTCTCATCACTTGTCGTGCTTGCACCAGGGGCAGTGGGGGCCTCAGGGGCCACAGGAGGCACATTGGTCTTGTCAAAATCATCAAGAGCACCTGCAGATGAGGAAACACTTACACTGGAGTACCAAGGTATATATGTTTTGATGGCATGTAATGTGACTGATGCAAAACTAGCTAGTGGTCCAGTACAAACACAGCAGCTCCGATAATGAGCTCCGTTTAGATACAAAACCTGGTTGGACATAACTGACAAATTTTTATGTGACTATACAAAAGACAGAGTGACGATCTCTAATTAATTAACTGATGCACATCTAATGTTTTCACGTTACAAAAACTTCAATCACTGTGACAAGCGCAAGCACCAGACCAATAGCATAGCAGCAACTGCACTGTGACAACCGCTGCCTAAACGCTAGTTCACTAAACAGTAACTTTATTAAAGGGTAAAACATTTGCACATTATAACTGTGGATACTTTCATATTTAAGCCATCCTCAAACCTTACTGTCTAATAACTCGTCCAGTTCACTGTCTGCGGCACCCTGATGTTCTGATGCTGACGCCATCTTGCTTCTCAATGACAAGAAATGCAAATGTGTCGCAAAATAATGACGTCCAATAAAAACAGCTTTGATGTTTTTATTTATTTGGCATTTATCAGATTGCAACATAAATGTAACATTTTATATTAAAAATGCTACAAATGTAACAATTGCGTTCGTTTTCAAAAATAATTTAAATTTCAATAATTGTTATATCATCATCATGCTTGGTGATTACCGGTTTTCTTTTTTTTATGCGTTTTGAAGCGCCATTATTCTTAATGATTAATTAATGTGTCCTAAATCTATCTATCTATCTATCTATCTATCTATCTATCTATCTATCTATCTATCTATCATATACATATTTGAGTCTATTACCTTGCCCTTCATACATGGTTTTAATGGTTTATTTATTTGGTCCAGTGCCCCCTACTCGTTAGTTAAAGGAGTCATATGATGCTTTTTTAAAGATCATTATTTGGTGTAACAGAATATGTTGACATGCTTTAATGTTCAAAAAACACATTATTTTTCAAATACTGTACATTATTGTAGGTCCTCTATGCCCCGCCTCTCTCATTTTTAGTCGTCATTGATTATTCTCTTTTTTTTGTAAAAAAAACAAAACCGTTGACATTACTAAATATAATTAGTTGTTTGAAGTATTCAGACGAAATATTGAATCCAGTGATTATGTTAACAGTTAACTAGAGATAGTTTAATGTGTTAAGTTTCTGTAAGGGGGAGGAGCCCCGTTCGAACACGTTTGAGCAGTGAGCGCGCGATCTTTGAAGATTCTGGTTGATGTCCCTTCCGAAGTTTTGTATGGTTTCGATTTAAATCCGTAAAGTCCGCTTTCACATTAGTAGTGTTTTACCACTGTTGAAGTTGAACTGGACTGAGGAGAGACTGATAGAACTGATTATTTCGCGTTCACGCGAATCGATTAAGGCAGAACCATGTTGGCTTTAACGAGAAGAGGTTTCAGAATTTTTATCAAGATTGCTTCTCTACAAATAATTGAATGGACAGTGGTGTTCATATTTGTATATTTCTTGTCTTTCAGTTTGTGTATCTTCTCATTATTGTGTGGTGCATTTTGGGTACTACTGCGGCATTGGCATATACTAATAAAGGGAAGGTAATAGGAATTTTATGTTATTTGGCTATATAAAAGTGAAGTGTATTTCACTGAAATGGTTTTGACATTAAACATCTTTTTTTTTTAGCTTGATGTAGACTTGTCTCCCCTTAAAGATGTGTTTCAGAACTACAGTGGTAACAGCCAAGATCCTGATACCAAAGCAGTGAATGCCCTTCAGCGTGAGGTATTTGCACAGAAATCTCCAGGATTTCTATGTGTTTTTTGGCTAAATCAGATTGTTTCACTTTTTTGTTACAGTTGCAGTGTTAAGAACTACACAGACTGGTTGGAAACACCCTGGTTTATTCATAGTGGGAAATACGAAGTTCCTCTGAGCTGCTGCAACAAAAACTTTCACTCCTGCAATGGGACTTTAGACTCACCCCAGGGCTGTCAAATTAAACTTGAGGAGAATTTACTGCTTGCAGTGCACATCATCATTATAATATCTTTAGTGGTTCTCTTTTTGGTTTGAATTATAATTAATTTATGCCCTGATCTTTTACAAGATTTCTAATGTTATCTCTGACCTTTCTGTCTTCAGGTAATTTCTTGGATTATAGTGGCACAGCTAGTGAGGCATCAACCCCCACAAGAGTATCAAATCCTGGACCAAGAATAAAAACGCACTTATGGAATTAAATTCTTGTGATTTTTCTTCTGAATGCTTGCACATTATATATATATATATATATTATTGTTGATTACTTTGATGATATATCATTCCGTTCAAACTCGTACAAACTAGTGTCTCTTCACAATACCTGTTCTTCTAGAAATATTTTATATGCACGCACAGCAGGGGCGTTTTACTTTTACACAATAAAACTGATACAATCGAATAAAATGCCTGACTTTATTATTAGTGACTTGATCTGAGGAATCTGAATGGATTCTGAAAGTGGGAGGGGTTAAAACGTCTGCTTCCTTTGCAGAGTTCCCTTGTGGTGTGTTTTTGTGTCACGAGAGCGCAGCGCCAAAAAGCCACGTTTTGCTAAAGCTCCGCGTGCGTTCGTTCTACTGCAGAATTGGAGAGACGTTGAAGTTGGTAAGGCGCCAGATATACATTTAAACGTTTGATTTTGTTATATTGAACTTGTTTATTAGCATTTAGTAACGTTTATAAGTGTATTCATTGTTTGAGGCCTTGGCTTTAATAGGGTTAGGCCCCTTAGCGCAGCCTGCTCGAGTTTGAACTCGAGAGTTGCATGGGATTTACAGAGCGAGTCGTCGCGAAAATATGGGGACGGTGTGTTGGGAACGAGGCCTCATGTTGTGTGCTATTTTATTCTTCGAACTATTTTTGAATCGATGATTCTTTACCAGCATGCTGTGTAATGCCGCAAGGTTGTTGTTCTGTAGCTAAGATACGGAACCGTAACAATGGCGAGGTAATCTAGACAAGCATGACCGGAAGAGCGATGTTCTGCTGCGGGGTAGTTGTAAATTTCACGCCCCCACGACTAGGCAGAATTACAATGTATTTTATTCATTTATTTTCCAACAGCCTACGAATGTCTGAATAGTGTAGTCAGTATTTATGGCAGTAGTATATTTTGATAAGGTTAATAAGCTCCACCGCCCTAATATATGTTGAATGAATGAATGAATGAATGAAATTTATGAAACGTGGGAATTTCTACGGAACTGTCCCCTGAACAGCTGTTCTTCGACCTCTATAATATCAATTAGTTGTAACAAATTTTTTGTATTTTATTTTTTTACAAGTCAGTTTCCGTATGTCGGATTAGAGTTAATCGGCCATTTTGTGTTAAAATGTGTTTTTTAATCATTATTATTACTTGAGCAGGCGAAAATAGTTTCACATAATAAGGTAGATTTTTATGATATGCTGATTTGTTTAAGAATATAATTAACAGTGAAACATTTTTTAATTTTTGGGTGAACGGTACTTTTATGAATAGTGCAGTTCAGGAAGGTTTGCTTTTAAACTCTTAAGGTAGTATTTACACTGTAGTATTTTAATTCTTGGTGTTTTCCTTTTCCATTTCTGAAAACAAAAATAAAGGTGTTTAAAATAAAATGGTTTACATTGTAAAGTAATGTAACAAGTACAGCATGTATATAATATCATCCCAGAGATTTTGTGAAGGCGGGACAGACTCAAAGTGAGGTGCTAAAAATACACGCTGAAACTACACCACTCCTAACGGACGATGGTTGTTGTTCTTTTTTCCACAGATTATATCAGAAGGTGGCTCATCTTATCTTTTTGCTCTTCACTTATTTTAGTTCATTTATTTTAGTTTATTTATTTTACTCTGAACCCCCAAACCTGCCTTTGCCTTCCCTACCACCCCTTGTCAGCGTGTATTTTTATTACCTTATTTTGTTTTTGGTATCTTCAGAGTCGGGATCTGTGACGGCTCTTCATGGCAGTCAGAAGGGGACACGTTAGATACTTAAAAGTGAGTAGAATTTGCGTCCATCAGGGACTGAATGTGGAATGGTTTCAACCATTTATTTATCGTTACATTGAATCTGTAAGCGGGAGTTAGTAGTGCTTAGTAGAGCCCAACCAATATATCGTTTTGCCGATATTATCGGCCGATATGAGCCTGTCGCTAGTATGTCGGTATCGGCGAATATGCGGCCGACATGACATTTTTAAAAACATTTTTTACAGAACATATAATGCAGATAAAATGGTGTAATTACTTTGTCCAGCAGAGCGTGTTCCATTGTTTGCTACTGGCGACCTGGATGAAACGCATTAAAGCTTAGTCTATGGAAACCATTGAAATTTTGAACGGCCATATCTCCGTAACGGCGCGGAGAATCTGCACCAAATTCGGGGGATCCCTTCAGCTCGAGGAACCCTCTCGAACGCAAATCGAGTGTACGTCTAGAGGGCCGCTTTCGAATGAGACCACCCCTGTGTCAATAGCCCCCGGGGTTCGGGAGTTACGGGTGGTTAAATTCGCGGTCCAGCTCCGACCAATCAAGCGATCCCGGGGGGCTACCGACGTGCGGAGGGTGGCATTCGAGAGGGATCTTCCAGCTGAAGGGATCCCCCGATTTTGGTGGAGATCCGCCGGCACGTTCGCGAGATGGTGACACCAGTCAACACTTTCACTTCAGTAAGGAGGTCTCTTGTTCAGGCAGCAGCATTCAAGCGTGGTCTTACTCGACCGTAAGTGGACTTCACATGAAATTCCGCCATGATTCCAGTTCCAAGGGAACGTACATGTTACTTTCAAAGGGCATTAACGCGAGACGTGAATTTATATTGTATTTATTTACAGAGGTATATTATGTCACACTTCTCTAGTAAGTTTTGTCTGTGTGTGAAGATGGTAGTTCAAATCCGTGAATGAATGTTCCGAAGTGAAATAAACTTCAACGAAATAAAGTTGAATGGAGCCGCTTTCGAATGAGACCACCCCTGTGTCAATAGCCCCCGGGGTTCGGGAGTTACGGGTGGTTAAATTCGCGGTCCGGCGCCCCCTGGGGACTCGCGGAGGGGGTCGTTCGAGAG